GAGGTCAGGCTGTCAGTATTGATTAGTTAAGTTAACCCTTTGTGTAACTTAGTTGATTTTTGTATAAATGATCTCAAAAAGGGTTGATTAAATTCTGATCTGTTGAAATGATCTTGGATAGGCCATTAATTATTTTGAGAGAAAAACTAAGTGGTGGAATCGAATGGAGGTAAGTAGAATCTCACACACTTTACTTGTTTTCGAATCTATGTATATATATGTTTCTAAATGAAAGAATGTTTTATTTCTTTATTTTTAATGTGTGAAAATAGGACCAAGCATATGATTATTTTGTGTTTTCGCTATGTAAATTATGGATCATGCTTATGAATGAAATGAAAAAATGATTTATGTTTAAAGAATGATTTTGTGATAGCTACGTTTTTATATCCCTAAGAAGTGGGATATCGATACCAGAACTAGTTCTACGACCCTGGCTAACGGGTAATAGTAGTTAGCAAAGACATGATCATACGACCCTGGCTAATGGGTAATAGTAGTTAGCATAAGGCCTGGCTAGAGGGTTATAATAGTTAGCAATGATCATGAGGATGAAATTGTCGATACGACCAATGTCACGGGTTATAGCAGTGACCGTAGCTAACGATAAACCAATGATAATGATGATTTATGATGATGATGATTTGCGATGATTTTTAATGATTGATCCATGATTTGGTTTGATTATAATATTTGAATGATAGCATATTTTGTAATGATTTATGAAGTGATATATTTTGACATTAATTTATGAATTTATGAAATATTTGACAAAACAATGATCTTGAAATGTTTTGATATTATGATTTGATAAATGTTTTAAATGATCTATATGATGTGTAAGAAAACGATATTTCATCTGATAAGGTGTGTGAGCCTATACTTACTGAGCTGTGGTTTGCTCATTCCTCTTTTACTTTTTCTTTACAGATGATTAAGTGATAAGTTTGGTTAGTCTTGTGTGAAGTTAGAAGATGAAATGGGAAAGATTACTTAGTCGTCGGAGAATATGTTGGCCAATGAGATCTTAAGAGATAGTTTTGTATTTTATATGGTTTGTATTTGGATATATAAAGATGTATTATTAGTTGGATTAAAGATATGAATTTTACTTGGTAAATTATTTTATTGAAGAATTTTAGAATATTTAAGAAAGAAGGCTTCGTATTACTTTAAAATTTTCTTCATGATAATACGACTGTGTTACGTCTTGATCTCGGGACGTGACATTACCTGATTCACATGGAGGTGATTCTAGAAATTTTCTTATATCCAGAATTCTTACCAGAATTCTTAGTGCTTCAATTCCCTATTAATAGCATCTGCTTGCAGTTTCCTATATTTATATATTTGACAATGTAATCAATTTTTTTTCATGCACTGTCAGTCTATAGGTGCTGTTAATACTATTGTAAGGAGGCCTTGTGATGGAAAGCTGATAGGTTATAATACTGACTGCGAAGCTGCAATAACTGCGACCGAGGATGCTCTAAAAGGTACCTGCCATTGATGAGAAAAAAAATGTTCATCATGTCCTCTTAGAAGTTTAAAGTATTGATCAATGACAAGTCCATTCTAGATGCTGATATCCTGACACTGTTGTACTTGTAAATCGTAAACTACTATAGAAAAGAGATGCACTGGTAATGAAGTATCTTTAGGCAGTCCGATATCGGGGAAACTCTTTGTGCTAGTTGGTGCTGGAGGTGCACGAAGAGCATTGGCATTTGGTGCTAAAAGCAGAGGAGCTCAAATAGTCATTTTTTACATTGATTTTGGTATGTGATCTACAATTCTTAAAAGGCAAATCCATGGTTTTTCCCTTTATGTTGATTTGATTGTCAACTATAACTTCTGCCTACTCTTTTTTAATACAATGTTGTAGCATTAGCAATAAACATTATGAGTAGAGAATCAAAACCCTTTCGTACTATTATCATTGCTTGTGGAAAAAGGGAGAGCAAAGTCCCTTGCTTGTGCTGTCTCGGGTGAAGCTCGACCTTATGAAGAAGTAGTTAACTTCCAGCCAGAGAAAGGATCGATCCTTGCAAATGCAACACCCCTGGGAATGCATCCGAATACTGATCAGCGCATTCCTGTTGCTGAGGTCTCCACCTTCCACCACTTAGTGGTATTTCTTTTCTGAAGAATAAAGTTCAATTTTGTTTCATTACTGAAGTTATTTGCTTTCATATTCCAGGCAACCTTGGGAGATTATGAGCTGGTCTTTGATGCTGTTTATACACCTAAGAAAACAAGACTATTAAAAGATGCAGAGGCAGCAGGAGCAATCATTGTCAGTGGAGTTGAAATGTTCCTCAGACAAGCTATTGGTCAGTTCAATCTCTTCACTGGTCGAGAAGGTATCTCTTGAATCCCTTCCTTCCCTCTATCTGTTTCATGACCTTAAACTACATCATAACCACTCTGGACACTTATTTTCTAATTAAATCAATTAGAAACTTTAGACCTTTTAAACCATCCTTAGATCTTTACTGCAAATGTAAGTTGATAGTTCAACCATCTTGATCTTTTGCTGTTTGATTTTAGTCACGAGACTATTGAAAAAGAATAATAAAGCTTCCAGTGAGTAGTGAATCCATCTTTATTTCATTAGTTGGACGAATGGATGAAGTTTATGATCTGAAAAAGCTATTTTGATTGAGTTGATAAGATTTGAATACTTTGTTTATAAGACTTAAGTTTGAGTCCCCGTTGCTAGCATTTCCCTTGATAGATGATTTGTAAATTAATGTAAATCGATGCTGAAGCTTGTGATCTTCTATGGTCCTAAAATGAGAATGCCTCTTCTTATCCTAAATTTTTATAAAAATATATATATACATATATACATTGAGTCAAAATTGCTGGAGATATCCTATTTTGAACCTCTTCCAAAATTCTGACTTCTAATTTTACCATGTACCATCCTCATGATCAAGTTCAAGTTTTGTGGTGATAATCTCAACTATTCTTCCTCAAAACTACTGCCTCCTACAGCTCAAGAATTTTAGTTGCAACATATATTTTCAGAATTCTTAATATGGTTTAAATGAGGTCAATTTTTTTATTCTGTTTTGCAGCACCTAAAGAGTTAATGCGAAAGATCATTATGGCGGAGTTCTGATGTATTACATCACACAGAATATTGTAACATTAAGGAGTAGATAGATCAAGTACCATGGAAAAGGATTCATGTAGTCAAGCTGAAGCCCTTATTCTTGGACAAGGTTTTTTTTTTTTTTTAATTTATTTCAAGTTTTGGTCATTAACTTACATGGAAAATGAAAATATTTCTCTTCTTTGTTTTCTTTGGAGGGTTCAAAAAAAATTTTTTTTAAAGAGATCATAGTTTAAAAATTAAGAAAACGATTAAAGTAATAGAAATTTGAATCTTAAATTTACTGAAAAAATGATTGCATAAACCTAACTTAAAAGGGTTATGAGTATTAAAATTTGAATCCAAACTTTTAATATCAACGACTGAACTCCATTATAAGTTCACAAATATTTACATAGTGAAAGCCTTTTTCTTATTTTGATCATAATAATATAAACAATTATTACTTATTAGACTTTGCTGTTAGAAGAGGATTTAAATTAAAATCTCACTTACAAAAATTTAATTTAGTTGACTATCAATTTTAACTAACTATACGATGCACGATGATTTTTCAAGTACTTGGATTTTGGTTACTTCGAAAAATTTAGATGATGTGCCAAAACTTAACTTCTTTTAGTATTATGTAGTTTTTGAAAAAAGATAAAACATGGTAAATTTATTATCTAACATTGTGTCTATGTAGGCGTAAAAAGTAATTGTCTTAAGTTATCTATAATATTGACTTATTTGTTAGTTATGCCATTATGGCTACTTAAATTCAATATCATATAATTTAAAGTGTTTTTTATAATATGATCGCAAAATATTTTCAAGATTTACTATTAGATATATTATCGAGCTTTATTTAATGTTAATTTCTTCTCTCAAGAGATTTTCTCTAATACAGTAAGTTGTATTCAGTGTTTTATTTTTAAAATATTTTTTATAAATATCAAATTCTGATTGACAAAAAAAAAAAAAAAATCGAATGGGTTCAGAGTTTTACTCTTAAAGTCTTTTTTTTTTGAGGGTTCAAATTCTAATTAACAAAGAAAAAAAACCCTTTTCTCCTTACTAATTATATTAATCCTTGTGGATTAAAGTGGTAGATTATGCTAACAATAAAAATTAGAAGTTATTTCAATTTTTAATTTGCTATTTAATTTAATTAGAATTTCGATACAAACAATAATATAAAAGAGAATTAAAGATAAGAGTTAAATTTTGGATCTTATCTCTCAATTAAGTTATTAATTAATTTATTTGATCTATTAGCTTTACCTTGATGATTTGTAAAAATTTTCTAATATAATCATCAAATAATGTTTATTTTAAGTTAATCAACAATGGTTTTACTTTTCCCCATTTCATTGCAAATAGAAAAAATTAACTTAATTTAACTTAAATTCTCATAGTTACTTACCAATGTTTAAACGAATATAAGGCACTACTTATAAGATTTGAAGCCAAGACTCTTTCAGGCAAAGAACTAAAAAATCCAACTTTAAAATTGATGCCTATTGTAGATAAAAACCATTGTACTTGAACAACGATCCTCTGTTTCTTATACTTGGAAACTATTGGCTTATAGTGTATTCAGAGGACCAAGATACTTGCTATAGGTTGTTCTGTTTATGTCAATGCTGATAGAAAATGTCCTAAATGAAAATAAAAAATAACTGCTCCATCCCAATGAGTTGTCAGTCATTGGGCTTTCTGCAAGTGTTTTGACTTGTATATGTTTTCAATTAATGAAATAAAACTAGTAAGCCTTTGCTAAAGTTTGAAAAGGACCAGCTTCTTCACTTGACATGAGGCAAATACTTTGTAAACCTTCAATGGCGATTGGATTCTTCCCATTCTTCCATTCAATCAGTAGGATTAATTGGGCATTAGCCCTCATCGTATGAGAAAACTAGGAGGGGTATTCGTTCTGCCCAATTTTCCCGTACCATCTGCCTCCTTGACATTGAATGCTCTATTTACGATTCACATTGATGATAAAATTGTCAATCACAGATCTGGGTGGAAAAAATCATTGATAATTAATATATAAGCACAAAATTGCCAGGCCAAAGAAAACGACTAACCTTGTTCACCATGAGCCATCAAATCATACTTCTGAACAGTGCCACTAAGGTAGCATGGAACTCAGCGCAAGGGTAGAATGGAACAGGTTATATCAGGATGGATAAATTGCCCATTCACAAAATGTTGTAGGCACAGCACACCTTGGGGCACCCAATGGACTCAAGAATTTGCCATTGGTTCAATGCAGCAGAAAATCAACTGTAAACAAACACAAACCATCAGCCAGCCCAAACAAAAACCATCAATTTGAGCCTCCAGAATAAATATGAATTGAGCTTTCTTTCAAGTTTCAACGTGAAATATTTTGTACCTTCCCAAAAAGGGAGAGTCGCAAATCCTTGAAATTTCAAAATAAGTATGTGATCCTGAACTTCATAATATTTCTCCTTATCCTCTTGACTTCAGAACTGTTGTCATCCATAACTTCTGAACACCCAGATCATTAAAAATAGAAAAGTAGTACATATGTTATTTCTTCCAAGGTTCAAATAAATGGCAAGTTATAATTAGTCACCATAGAAACATAAAAGACTAAAAGAAAGAAGCTGCAACCATTTACAGGTTGATCAAATGCAGCATGACTAAACTTGTCTTTAGAGACAGAATAGCTTGGCAGCACTGCCCTTTAGTAATATAATTGACAATCAAAAGAAACGAAAAAAAAGAGTACCATTATTTCATTTTAAAGAACCCTTGTATTATATAAAGAAACTTATTAACCTTTGAATTTCAACGATGAAAGTATCAATAACATGATGTCTCAAAATACATACATTGTTTATTACTCTGCATGGCACATAAAATGCTGGCCGTGAAGGAATAGGATTAGAACCCTTGCCTTCTGCACTTGAGATGAAGACACACCTTCAAATGAAGAACTTACCTTATTCAAGGCAAAGAAAAATCATTTGCTTAGATGAGTACTACATAAGCTATACTGTCTCAAGATGCATGGAAGACTTTTTGCTTACTTCTGTTTTTGGCAGTTGAAAGGATTGAGCTGATTTCTTTCAGAATTTCTTCGACTAATGTTGACTGGATTTATGAAATATAATGAACAAATATTAGTGAAGGTGAAAAGAAAATTACTGGAAAATTACTTTTGTTACTCTTTGAAGAATCAGTATCATAATGAATGATAACAAAGCCATTCTAATTTCAAATGAAGAAACAAGAGTCATATGTCTCAAATACACATTTTCAACAATTTCCTACCTTGCCACGCTTGCCATTTGAAGATCATCACCATAATCCCTCTTCTTATTTTTTTTTATTATAAATTTAAACATTCTCTAACCATAAAGAATATTATTACTGAAAAGCAAAAGCATTTTAAAAAGAAAATCCAATGATCTATTTCAGTTGCTCTAGAATATCCTAAAAAGAGTAAATTAAATATAAATCCTGATGAAAATAAAAAGGAAAAACTGTTTAAAAATTACATAATATTATAATGATAAGAGAAATATAAACTAGGAAGGAGGCATCAAACTCCTACTTAATTGATGAGGAAAAGTAAAGCATTTGAGTTGAAAGAAACAAATGCTATATTATTATGAATGGTATCTGAAGATTTATAGAATGAAATTTGGCTTACTTGTGTGTTAGAAATTGAAGGATTGCCTTGATCTTCTATAGAATACTGCATTTCCTCCATGGGATTCTACATATATATAATAATCACCAACAACAATTAATTTTAATTGGTCATGAAGGCGAAAAGATGAATTAATTTTGATTTACAATGGAGTCGTCATCAACGCTCCCAACCACAAATTTTCTTTTTCAATGATAATCAAAGAAATTTGAAAAAACATACCCTTTCCGTGAACAGTTTTTGTATGGTGCTATTAAGGCTTCCTTCCCAAATCCAATCCCCTACCACCCACTCAGTTGGTCGTACTTCGTGCAACATTGGAGCGTTTAACCCTCCCTTGGAGAACATCTTCATCTTTGGGCAATTGTATACAATTACTGTTGCTAAGGATGGGAATCCAAAGGTATGATTCCCTGATGAGCAGAAGCTTTCTAGATTTGACAGCCGACAAAGTTCCAAAAGGTTGAGTTTGGGGAAAATGATTTCAACCTTCACTTCATCACGATCCCCATCGCTACCTTCTATTATTTCTTCTATCTTTCCACAATAACCTATCCTCATTTCTCTGAGCTGCACTAGGCTTTTGGCTGTTGAATGTGTAACTAATTTTATGATCCCATCACATCCAGATACTCTAAGAGTCATCAGATTCCGGAAACATACTGAGGATGGAACTAAATTACTTTTTAATTTGGGACACCGTTCCACATGTAAAATCCTTAGATTTTGGAATCCTTCCTTTTCCTTCCATAGATGCATCAATTCATCAAGATAAGAAAGCCGTAATTCAGTTAACCGAGAGAGTACCATCGATGCAGATGCAGGCTTTTCCTCACCACCAACTCCTTCACTTTGGAATACCAACTCTTCAAAGTAACAACCTTCTATTTGAAGGCTTTCGAGATTGGGTAAGGATAGTAATTGGAACAGGTAAGATGGGAATATAGCTAATTGTTGAGGAAACCGTACAAGTCCGAGAACTTTTAGTTTGCAAAAGTAGTCCGATGCAAGTCGTAGACCATGCAATCTCTCTTTCATCCCATCATCCCATCCGAGGTGAAGTTGCTGTAGATTTGGGAATGCCAACTGCACAATTCATGCAAGTGTTAATGGGACGGAGGATGAGCTGTTGAAAGGGATCAAAATGAACGATTGTAATATGGTGGAATAAAAAGAGAAATTTAAAAAAGTATATCTTTAATATAAGTAGTGATCTTTTTTTTTTTACTGAATCATGTATACCTATATAGTACTAGCTGATTTGAGTATGTCATTATTATTAACGTTTTTCTTTGCTAAAAAAAATAGGTACAATCGTTTTCTAACTTTTAATACACATCAACTTTTACAAAAATTTAGAATTCAAATAATCTTTTAATGCATATAAATTTACTGAAAAACTAGTAAAGTATACATTTAAAAAAAAATAAAATCTGATTATTGAAGTTTAAAAGTACCTCTCTAGTTAAATTATAGATCAATCCAAAGTTATATTATAAAATTATATATTCTATCTTGGTAAACAAATTATTGTATTTTATTCTTGCAAATATATTAATAGTTTACATACTTTTTTTTTAATATTTATTATGTTGCCATTAAATGCTTTTTTATTTTATTTTTTTTCAAAACACGTCAATCTATTTTTTAAAATTTTGATCCAAAGATTATTTAAGATTTAAAATTGAGGGGTGTTTAATACACCTTTATTTTTCACTTTATACCCTATTTTTTAAAATTTCCTTAAGTAAAATTATTTAATTATATTCTTTTTATAAATTTTTTAAAATAAATGTTTGAAAAATTGTATAACTTGTTGGATATAAATATCAGAAACTTATGAAAAAAAGTAATTAAGTAATTTTATTTTTAAAAAGATTTGAAAAAAAAAATAGCATAAGAAGAGCCAAAAAAAAGATGCATTTAATATCACTCTTTAGGATTTAAAGGCTAGGAATCTCATTAGCAATTAGCAATATAAGTAGTTTACCCTCTATTAGATTATTGAAATCAAAAATAAATTCTTAAACTCGAATGATGTAATTAATAATTAGGTGTTATTTTTATTAAACATATAGTTTTACCTATCAATTTGTAAATGAGTTTAATTATTTGAAACAAATTTTAAGTTTATATTGGAGCAATGGAGGGAGACATTAAAAAAATACCTTTTCACTGAATAGGTATTTTAAGACATCCGAGTGGAGGTTCTCCATTAAGATGCTACTCTCTCCTGCTTCATTTTCAACAGTTGTTCCCACACTTATAGAATCAGAATGGACTATGTTCAGAACAGGACATTGTTCTATATGCAGATATGTTAGAGAAGGGAATTCAATCGGATTTCCAAAGCCAAATCTTTTGAGCTTAGGAAGATCCCTGAGCTCCAAGTAGTCTAATTTAGGAAACACCATTTTCCTCGTCCTTTCTTCTTCTACTAATCCTTCCGTCACTATTATTATCTCTTCAATTTCATTACACTCTTCAACAGAAAGTGTTTTCAGTTGCACAAAGCTTTCAACCATAGAGGAAGTAAATATATTCTTCAAATTATGGCACTCGCACACTTCCAACTTTGTTAAATTTTGAACACCAAAAGAAGTTACTGAAAGTTGCTCATGCCATAGCTTTTCAACTATCATGAAGCGTATACGCAACTGCTCTAAGCCTGGGAACACAAACTGCAAATAAAAGTAAAGTTTGACGATCAACAATTCCTTTATTATTCAAATATTAAAAAGAATTAATAATGATTTCCAACATTGATATGACACAAATAAATAATATATTATTGCCATTGACTATAATTTTATTACACCAAGGAAATTGAGAACCGTATATTTATCATACGGACGGCGTGATGTTAAATTAGTGCTTAACAACATAGACTTTGGTATAATTTACTCAATAATAATACTTTCCTTACAGAAAGCATGTGTCACAGCCCACATGTGCACGATCATGACCTAGGGATCGCACAATGTAGACGACCTAGCTGTGCTTTAATTGTTGTTTAGTTTGTCATCATGTCCCATTTCTTTACTAGTCTCCGCCTTTTATGTATTATTTTCTATACCCAATCTAACCCAACATATAAATATAGTATTTCATTAAATAAATGTACTAAATAATAATTTTATTAATATAATAAATAAATAAAATTAAATAAATAATAAAATATATATTCTAATGTATAACATGGGACGAGACAAAAAAAAATATTTTAAATTTATCTTTAACCTGACCTTAAAGTTTTTTAAAAAAAAAAACTATCCCTATTCAATTGATTAATCGAAACATATCAAATAAAAATTATTTTAATATTTATTGATCCAATTTCTTACAAAATTTATTTTATTTAAAAAAAAAAAGAATCGAAGGATAAAAAAAAAAAATTCTAAATAGGATTGCTACCTAAACAATTCTATTGTTAATTTATCTTTCAAAGCATAGATAAAAAATGTTAAAATAGACAATTAAAAAAAAAAAGTTAAAACTAAAAATATGGGCCAAGCAAAAAAATTAATCAAATTAGTGGAAGATGCATGGACACTATCTTTTAATGGTAGAAAAGAGGTTGAGTCAGGGTGCGTTTATACATACCTTGACTTTTAACTCAAATTTTTAATAATTCAATTCCACTTTGATTTCAGTCAGATATTGAGTTATCATTAATTGATATCTAATCCCAATCTATCACATATATACATAATTTGCATCCAATCCAAATTAAAAAATAATAATTCAATAATTTTAACTTAATCTAATATTCATAAACATTTTATTTTTTAATATAAATTATATCTTAATTATGTATAAATATAATAATAAAATAATTCAACTCTACTTCAATTTCGACTAGACATCAAGTTATCATTAATTGATATCTTATCTTAACCTATCACACATATATATATATATATATATATAACCTGCATCCATTCCAAATTAATCAAAATTAATTCGATAATTTTAATTTAGTATATTGTTTATAAATTATATTTTAATTATATATAAATATAATAGTTTATTAAAATAAAATATTAACTAATAATTTTATTAATATAAAATCTATAAATATAAAATTAATTAAATAATAAAATATATATTTTTAATATATACCAAAGATGAGATGGAACATCTCAAATCCGTTTCCTATCCCCTTATTCGATTTAGAAAAAATTTCGACCTGATTTTAATTTTAAAATATAATGTACCTATTGGATTGAGAGAAATCAAAATCCATTGAATTTGTTTTGTCATCCCTACATCAATTGTCTTTTTTTTTGTATGAAATTTTTGTTAGGAAAATGGGGTCCAGTCCCATGTAAGTGGTTTTGGACCAAGTAAAGGCCATGGGCCTTGATCTTTTATTTTACACAGAGCCCTAGCTACTTAATAAAAAAGAGGTGGGGTTGTTTAAGGTGTGTGTCGACAACCAAGCAGAGAAAGAAGAAAAGCCAGGAAAAGCAGAGAGAGAAAAAGAAGAAGGGAGAGTTGGTTGAACGGAAGTCAATCTGTGGTCCGATTGAGTTGGAACCTTGTCAGGAGGTTTATGATTCAGAGTTCTACATTCTGAACGGTCAAGATCGGGTTTGAAGCTCTCTAAAAACAAATCCAGGGTGTATTTGTTGAGTCACTTATTTGGTGAGATTTCTCCAATTGTTTCTCTAGTTGTTGATTAGCTCTAGTTTTAGCTAGAGAAGAACTTTGTATAACTATTATTTGATAGTGAAGATTTTTCTGGCGGCCCGTGATTTTTTCCCTCTACACTGGAGGGTTTTCCACGTAAATCTTGGTGTGCTTTATTTTTCTGCGCATTTGATTATTGATTGTTGTCTATTGCTTCTGTATTGTTGTGATTATTGCTTCAGGCGCAACAAGTGGTATCAGAGCGAGGGTTATTTTGAGACATCGATACAGAAGCAACCCAGGATAGAAGTAAATTCTGTTTGAGATCATGGAGGGTGATACAGGTTCCATGATAAAATTGACAGCATCGAATTATTCAATTTGGAAGCCTATGATGGAGGATCATCTATACTGTAAAGATTTGTATAAGCCAGTATTGGGTGATTCGGCTAAACCAGCAGATATGAAAGATGAAAGCTGGAAGAAGCTAGGTAGAAAGACGCTGGCTACAATCAGAAAATGGGTTGATATCAGCGTGTTCCATCATGTAGCGCAGGAGTCAGATGCTCACATTGTTTGGGAAAAATTGGCAGCATTGTATGAGAGAAAAACAGGTATGAATAAAGTTATGCTTGTTAAAAAGATTGCAACTTTACAGTACAGGGATGGACGATCTGTTACAGAGCACTTGAGTGATTTTCAAGATATATTTAATCGGATGACTACTATGGAACTTAAGATGGATGATGAAATGAAGGCATTATTTCTTTTGGGTTCATTGCCAGACAGCTGGAATACTCTAGTTGTGAATGTTCTTAATTCAGCTCCTGATTATAAGGTGACATTGGAGATGGTAAAGGACAGTATGCTTAATGAAGAAGCGAGGCGAAAAGATGTAGACCCTGGAAATCAAGCTCTAGTCACAGAGAACAGGGGTAGAAACATCGACAGAGGTCAGGACTCAAAAGGCCGTGGTAAGTCTAAACATAGATCCAAGTCTAGAGGTAAAGTGAAGTGTTTTCATTGTGGTAAGGCGGGTCATATAAAACGAAACTGTAGAATCTTAAAGCAAGAGCGAAAAGATGAGAAAGGCAAGAGTTCAGATGATGGCAATGTTGCAGCAGTGAATTCAGATAGTGATTCAGTTACTTTGATTTGTACACATGGTGATTGCAATCATGTTAGTGATCCCGGCATTGAGTGGATAGTTGACACAGGAGCGGCATATCATTGTGTTCCTAAGAAAGAGTTGTTTACAACTTACAAAGCAGGAGACTTTGGTTGTACTAAGATGGGAAACAAGAGTGTGTCGCAGATTGTTGGGATTGGTGATATTGTTGTACAAACTAGTACAGGCTGCATGTTGACTTTGAGGGATGTCAGACACATTCCAGATATGAGAATGAACTTGCTTGCTATTAATGTCCTTGATAAGGAGGGATATGAAAGCCGACAAAAGAATGGACAGTGGAAGCTTCTCAAAGGATCTATGGTAGTTGCAAAGGGGAAAACTATGCTGCACAATGTATAAGACATGGATGCAATTGAACGGTAACCAGGTAAATACCGTTGAAAATGATGCTTCAGCAAACTTGTGGCACAGGAGGCTGGCACACATGAGTGAAAAAGGGTTACAGGTTTTGGCAAGGCACTCTCTCATTCCCTTGACCAAAGGTATGTCTCTCGATTCATGTGATTATTGTTTGTTTGGTAAGCATCATAGAGTTTCTTTTCGTAAAAGTTCTCAGAGAAAAGAAAATAGATTGGAATTAATTTATTCTGATGTATGTGGTCCCATTGAGGTTGAGTCATTAGGTGGTAGCAGATATTTTGTTACTTTTATTGATGATGCTTCACGTAAAACTTGGGTGTATATGTTGAAATATAAAAGTCAGGTACTGCAGTATTTTCAAAAATTTCATGCCATGGTTGAAAGGATGACAGGGTTACCCTTAAAGTGTATTCGAACTGATAATGGTGGGGAATACACATCTAAAAGCTTTGAAGAGTATTGCTCAAAGCATGGGATCAGGCATGAGAGGACAGAACCTGGAACACCGCAGCATAATGGTATAGCTGAAAGAATGAATCGCACCATTGTGGAAAAAGTCAAATGTATGTTGAGGATGGCAAAATTACCAAAGCCATTCTGGGGTGAAGCAGTCAACACAGCTTGTTATTTACTTAACAGGTCACCATCAGTTCCTTTGGGCTTTGACATTCCAGAAAGAGTGTGGACAGGAAAAGATGCTTCATACTCTCACTTAAAAGTTTTTGGGTGTAAAGCATTCATGCATGTACCAAAAGAGCAGAGGTCAAAGCTTGATAGTAAAGCTACACAGTGTGTGTTTGTAGGATATGATGATGAGGAATTTGGCTACAGGGTATGGGATCCAGTAAAGAGAAAGACAGTCAGAAGCAGAGATGTGGTCTTTCATGAAAAAGAAACCATAGCAGACCTTGAGAAAAATGAGAAGACTACACGAGTTACTGTTGAGTGTGATGTTTCAACACCGACAGGGATTTCACAGGAAAGAGCCACAGATGGTGAAAATGAGCCAGAAACAGAACTTGGGGATATGAATGAGCCAGCCATAGTTGGTGATGAGCCAGATGCTATTAGTTTTGAGCAGGGGGAGCAATCCTCTCTACCTGAGAGTGTTGAGCAGGGGGAGCTACCTTCAGCATCAAGTGATGTAGAGTCTCAGCTCAGGAGATCTACTAGAAAGCGCAGGCCATCTACCAGGTATCCAAGTTCAGATTTTATTTTAGTTACCAGTGAAGGGGAGCCAGAAAGCTTTCAAGATGTGCAGGCTACTCCGGATAGAGAGCACTGGTTAAAAGCAATGAAAGAAGAGATGGAGTCATTGCGAAAGAATGGTACTTATGATCTTGTTAAACTTCCAACAGGGAAAGAGGCCATTAAAGAATAAATGGGTGTTCAAGTTGAAAAAGGATGGTGACAAACTAGTGAGGTACAAAGCTCGATTGGTAGTAAAAGGTTTTTCTCAGAAACCAGGCATCGATTTTGATGAGATTTTTGCTCCAGTTGTAAAAATGAGTTCTATTCGAGTGGTACTGGGATTGGCAGCTAGTTTGAATCTTGAGCTTGAGCAACTTGATGTTAAAACTGCATTTTTGCATGGTGATTTGCAGGAGGACATTTATATGAATCAGCCTGAGGGTTTTGAAGTGAAAGGGAAAGAGCACTTAGTTTGCAAATTGAAGAAAAGCTTGTATGGCTTGAAACAAGCTCCGCGACAGTGGTACAAGAAGTTTGATTCTTTTATGATGAGTCATAGCTATAAAAGAACAGCAGCAGATTCTTGTGTGTATATTAAACAATTCCCCTAATGGTAACTTCATTATCCTATTATTATATGTTGATGATATGTTGATTGTAGGACAAGATGCTAGTATGGTTTTGCAGGTTGAAAGAACAATTGTCTAAGTCTTTGATATGAAGGATTTAGGTCCAGCAAAGCAGATTCTTGGTATGGACATTATCCGAGATAGGAGAGCTGGAAAGCTGTGGTTGTCACACGGAAAAGTATGTTGAACGAGTGCTTGGTAGATTCACATGCAACATGCTAAATCAGTTAGCAGTTCACTTGCCAACCATTTTCATCTAAGTAAGAATCTTGTCCAGTGTCTAAGGAAGAGCAACTAGCTATGTCTAGTATTCCTTATTCTTCTGCAGTCGGTTCTTTAATGTATCTTATGGTTTGTACAAGGCCTGACATTGCTCATGCAGTTGGTGTAGTGAGGCAGATTTCTTTCTAATCCAGGGAAGGTTCACTGGGAAGCAGTAAAATGGATTTTTAGATATTTGAGGGGTACCTCAAAAATGTGTTTGACTTATGGAGTTTCACAACCAATTCTAGAAGGGTTTACTGATGCTGACATGGCAGGCGATCTTGATGGTAGGAAATCTACTTCAGGGTATTTGTTCACTTTTGCAGGAGGAGCTGTATCTTGGCAGTCTAAGTTGCAGAAGTGTGTTGCTTTGTCAACTACAGAAGCTGAGTATATTGCAGCAACTGAAGCATGTAAAGAAATGCTTTGGATGAAACGTTTTCTTTTTGAATTGAGGTTGAATCAGAAAGAGTATGTGGTATTTTGTGATAGCCAGAGTGCTTTAGATTTGAGTAAGAATACCATGTACCATGCTAGAACAAAGCACATTGATGTTAGATATCATTGGTTACGTTCAGTGATTGAAGAACAGCAGATGCTATTGAAGAAAGTCCATACTGATAAAAATGTGGCAGATATGTTGACTAAGATACTTCCCAGGGAAAAGCTTGAGCTTTGCAGTAACTTGGCCGGAATGAGTTCCCTGGCCAAGGTAAGTTCCAAATGAAATTGCTATGGTGATGAATCTCCTTCTAATGGGACTGGAGGGGGAGATTGTTAGGAAAATGGGGTCCAGTCCCATGTAAGTGGTTTTGGACCAAGTAAAGGCCATGGGCCTTGATCTTTTATTTTACACAGAGCCCTAGCTACTTAATAAAAAAGAGGTGGGGTTGTTTAAGGTGTGTGTCGACAACCAAGCAGAGAAAGAAGAAAAGCCAGGAAAAGCAGAGAGAGAAAAAGAAGAAGGGAGAGTTGGTTGAACGGAAGTCAATCTGTGGTCCGATTGAGTTGGAACCTTGTCAGGAGGTTTATGATTCAGAGTTCTACATTCTGAACGGTCAAGATCGGGTTTGAAGCTCTCTAAAAACAAATCCAGGGTGTATTTGTTGAGTCACTTATTTGGTGAGATTTCTCCAATTGTTTCTCTAGTTGTTGATTAGCTCTAGTTTTAGCTAGAGAAGAACTTTGTATAACTATTATTTGATAGTGAAGATTTTTCTGGCGGCCCGTGGTTTTTTCCCTCTACACTAGAGGGTTTTCCACGTAAATCTTGGTGTGCTTTATTTTTCTGCGCATTTGATTATTGATTGTTGTCTATTGCTTCTGTATTGTTGTGATTATTGCTTCAGGCGCAACAATTTTTTTATTAAAAAAAGTTTTTGAAAAAGGTTATTGGCAAAAAAAGAAAGAAAGGCAAATAAAAGTGTTGTAAATTTATTAAATTAAGATATTAAATAACAATTTTACTAATATAATAAATATATAAATATAACATTAAATTAATAATAAAAATATAATTTTATATATATCTTAGACAAGATAAAATATTTTAAAATAACCCTTAAACAAATCTCGATTTAAAAAAAAATTCTCAATTTGTTTTCAAAATTTTTAAAACAACATATCTATATTGAATCGAAGTGAATTGAAACTCATTAGATATAAATTGTTTCATAATTTTTACATCTATTATTTTTCTTATAAAATTTATCTAATAAAATTAAAACCAAATAAAAAATAAAAAAGTACATTTTAAAGGAAGGTTAGGGTGGCACATAGACCCCCATCTTCTTCCAAAATCTAAAATATTTATAAAATGGATTGTTAGAAAGCCTTTTGGTTGAAATAATTAACTTCGTATAATGATTATAATCTTCCATGAAATAATTAGAAAAAAGTCAAATATTGGCTTGAAGTTGCAATAAATAAAGTCAGTCATTAAATTTTATGTATTAGTTATTAACTCCTAACAAAAAAAAATGCAATTTTAGATCTATAATAATATATAATATCAATAATTTCATTATATCACTCAAGTCATGACTTGTAAAAGTAAGAGTTTTAAAGTTTTATTATTAGAGGTGTTCATCGATTAAACCTATCAAAGAAGTCTAGTTTAGGAAATACCATTTTCCTCATCCTTTCTTCTTCTAGTAATCCTGCCGGCACTGTTATTACCTCTTCAATTGCATAACAATTGCTAACATGAAGTGATTTCAGTTGCACGAAGCTTTCAACCATAGAAGAAGTAAATAGATTCTTTAAATTATGACAGCCCTCAACAGTCAACACAGTTAACTTTTCAACACTAAAAGACGTTACCGGAAACTGATCATGCCATAATTTTTCAACTGTGATATAAGATAACCACAACTCCTTTAAGCATGGGAACATGACCTGCAAATAAAAAAATATTTGATAATCAACAATTTCTTATTATTCAAATATTAAAAAAAAATTAATAACGATTTCCAATATTGATATGCAACAAAGAAATAATATATAATTGCCATTGACAATAATTTTCAAGTAGATTATTAAACAAAAATTAAATATTTACTTGAATTTGCAACTATATAAAGTCAATGAAGTCATTAAATTTTGAGCATGAGTTATTGACTCCTAACCCAAAAAATATATATAATATCAATTCCTAAGTTCATTATATCACGCCCATGTCATGAAAGTGAATTGGAGTTTTTAAGTTTCAAAGGCGTATTTGGATTATCAAGTCTTCCTTCCAAGGCTGACTCAACTGACTCATTTAATTATTATTTTATTAAAATAACAAAATTTTATTATTAATATTTTAATATTGCAAACATATTCAAAATTAAAATGTAACAAAAATATAATAGTTCTTAATAAAATAATTTAATCCTTGTGGATAAGCTTTCAGTTTAAAAAACTTATTTTAAGTTTTATTGAATATTTTTTTTAAATACATTAATAGAATATTTTATGATATATTTTATTTTCATTAATTTTGATACAAAAATCACTAAAATTGAAAGTATAGCAATAAAATTCAAAAACCAAAGTATAATGACAAAATTGAAGACTCACCTACAATAATAAATTTGCTCTTTATCCTAATTATAACATTCACATATTAAATAGAAAATCTAGTTTAAGAAAAAAGAACAAAAACGAGATCAAAAGGAAATATGTTGGAAGTGAGAATTTAACGAAAAGAAGAAATATATTGACATAAATACCTTTCGGTCAAAAAGCGATGTGGCAGTTGAACTTCCATCAATTGATTGAACTCTTCCTTGTTGAGACGAGGAAAGCCTTTTTTCTGAGTTAAACAAGCCAATGAAACTTGGTAGATCTTCTAACCTTAAAGAGCGTAATTGGCTGAATTCTAAAATGTCATCATCACCAATCTCTTCCTCCCTCTTTTCTACAATTAACTCTGTGAAATTCTCGCAATCAGATACACTAATTTCTTGAAGGTGGCCGAGCTTTCTGGCTAAGGCGAATGAGAACAAATTCTTCAACATGTTACAATGTTCAACTTCTATGATTCTTAGTTGACCAAAACATTCAGCTTGGAGTTGACCATAAAATATGGCCTCCAAATTGTTCAGTTCACGAAGAAACAATGTCTCCAAAAGAGGAAATGCTTTACAAGAAGCCAACTCCATGGAGTTAATGAGATATTTAACCTCTGAATCATTGCGGACAAGAAGATGTTTTAAATGTGGGAAACCTTCGGTATTTGAATCGTAAAGCATGTCCATGACATCTTTCACTGCATCCAGACCTAGAGCTTCGGTTTTTCTCAACAACGTTTTAACCCCACTATCGTCCAAATGAATACTTTTATTCAACTTGAGATTCAACCCTCTCGAGGTTTTTGACATATGATACCACCACTCCGTTCCAATCATAATTTTGTATCTTTCCAGCTTTATAGAAAACAATTCTTTTGGCACAGATTGCACATTAGGAATACGTACTTCCAAAGTTGTCAAATGAGACAAATGTTGCAGCTCAACAAGGCTAGCATTGGTTCTTGGCTTCTCATGTCCCTCAACCTCCCATCTATCAAAGCTATAGAGGTATAATTCTTCTAATCTGGAGAAACGAGACAAGACATTTGGTGATATTACTTTAAGAGTGGAACAATGACTCAAATCTAGCAATTTTAGCTTGATCAATTGTCCTATTTGGGGTGGTAGCACTGCAATTTTAGATTTACTGAGGCTAAGGATTTCTAAATTCTTTAACTCTCCAATAATGACTATATCTTCTAACTTGCATTCAGAAAAACATAAAGTACGAAGATTTTTTAGGAAACAAAATGAGGAAGGCAAGGATGGAAGAAGATACATTTTGGCAAAATCTAAGACTCTGAGTTTTTGCATTCCCCTAAAGAAGTTGTCTGAAATTTTCAAAGAAGAATCCTCACTACCCAAAGAGACAAAGGTAAGATTTGGACATTCCAACTGATCATGATCAGGAAGCTCACAAACCTTAGCATACTCCAAGCAGATCAGTTCACAATTTCTCATTGTTTCCTCATTTGACAACTCTTTGAATTCACCATCCCTGGCAAGCCAATGGTGGTCCCTTGATGCGATCGACATGGCAACATCACGAACAACATCATGCATATCAAAGCGCTCAAAGGTACAACCATCAAGTAACAAAGAAGATCTTTTAAGGTTGCTAACCAATGCAAATACTTTATATCGTGTTTCTTCAATTGTGTTAACTCCATGAAATAAACCCAAACCAATGCCAAATTTCAACAAGTCCTCGATGGCGGCATCATGACCCATTATGCTACAGAGTAGGAAAGTTGGTTGATGTTCCACATCTTCTAAAAATTTGTAACTCAACTCTATAGCTGAATATGCACCTGCTGGTATCCCCTTGAAGTTTCTTTCAGAGGGATTTCTTAGTTCATTCAAAACATACTTCCAATCAGACAAATTCTCCTTATTTTTCATAGCTTCCGCAACTGTTACAATGGCAATCGGCAATCCAGCACATTCTTTGGCCACTTCAATTGCCGTAGGATGCAAGTCAGGTCTTCGGACAATATTACCAGCCTTCTTCTCAAACAGGTTCCATGGTTCTTTTTCTTTCAATTTTTGAATTGAAATGTTATTCAGCGAACCCATCAAAGATAAAGCATCGTGCTCTCTAGACGTCAGTAAGATCTTACATCCTTGGTGTTCACCTCCGTAAGGAATTCCTAGAGCCTCCATATCCAATTTCACCCAAATATCATCCAAAATAACAAGAACCTTCTTGTTTTTCTTTAGTCTGTTACGTAGTTCGCCTGCTCTCCCGGGGTCACTCTGCTTTTCAAACTTCAGATCCAATTCATCTGCAATCAGATCTTGAATTTTCTTGATGTCAAAACTCTGGGTTACGGCTGCCATGACCACCTCATCAAACAAATTTTCATCTTTGGCTTGTCTAGCGACTTGTTTGACTAGGGTGGTTTTACCCACACCTCCCATCCCGTAAACACCAATTATGCTCAAATTAGCATCTTTAAGCGCCTCCATGATAGCAACGAAAGCACCCGTTCTTGACTCAAAGGCCTCGTACTCTTTGTCAGGTCTCATAGCTATCCCTTCTAGAACAGGTCGGCAGGATACTCTATCAAATTGGTCTTTATCTTTCAAGAGTTCAGCAATGATATTGGCCTCTTTCTCAGCTTTTCTACTGAGTTGGTAACGAGAACTAAAATTAGGACACAACCAAACGAAACAGCTCGGCTTTGCATTCTCTTCGTCCTCATCCAATTGCGCAACAGCCTCGTCACAGATCTTCCCATCGACCTTAGTCAACCACTCATCCACATAGCTAAATATCTCCTCTCCCTGTCTCTTAGCCGCATTAACATCCTCTTGCACTCTTTCTCTTGCATCCTTCAGTTTTTGAAGTTGATCCCTGAGGTTTTGAATCTTGCTCTCATGCTTGAACAAGTAACTAACTTGACGTGCAATGGGATCAACTGCGTACTGCGCCGCTTTCCCAGCAACAGAGCTAAGAATGGATACAACAAAGGAAATACAAGCCTCCATAGTTTTTTTTTTTTTTTTTTTTGAATTTATAGGAAATTGATGATATGAAGGAAAACAAACAATAAAACAACAGGGCAGAAGGCTCACTGACAAAACCCAAAAAAACAAAAAACAGCAATATTCAAAACCCAAAAAATATATAAATATATATATATATAAATTAAATAATCAGAGATGAAAACAGTGCAAATGGATTTAAACAAACATACCTCCGTCCTTGTCTTAGATATCAAAAGATCGGTCGGCTACAGCTTCTTCCTATCCTCACTTTGAGTAATGATGCCATAAGAGCAGAGAACCTACAGGAAAATTTTGAGGAATTCTTTTTTTTTTTTTTGGTGAATAAAACTTGAGGATTTAGCAGTACAAAGAGCTTTAGGAATGGTTGTTGACAGAACAGAGAATCAAAACTTGGACTTCCGTGTTTTCTGCAAAAGAGCATGGGAAGCCAAGGCAAGTAAAGAAATGGGAATTTATTTTTTAGTAAATTACACCAAGGTCCTTGATGTTGATCACTAATTCAACATCAGTCCATCGGGTATGATAAATATGCAGTTGTCAACTTGTTTACCTAGTGATTAAAATGCTATTAGGAAAACATAAAATCTTGATTTTATTATTTTTTTTTATAAATTATGCTCGTCTTATATAAAAAAAAACATTTTCATCCTCAAAAGTTTTAGCAATGACATTATAAATATCCTCACAAATCACATTAAATTTTTATTGCAATCGAAGTTAGGAACTTCTATTTACATTAAAAAATACTCAAGGAATCCAATTTTTTTATTATAAAAATGTTCAAAAGGCATTAACTTTTAGCAAATTATTTTTTATTTCTTTCGTGCATCATTTTTAAATTTCACGGATTTACAAAATCATAAATTCATATATTTGTAAAAAGTTTATGAATTTGAATATTTGTAAATTTTTCAAATTTATGAAAAAACATTTTCATTATTCATAATTTTATAAAATAATTAATATATCAAATTTTAATTTAATCAAACTTTAGTAAAGAGCAAACCCTAAGTTTAGTTGAAACTTAAAATTTAACAATTTGGATTGAAATTTATGAATTTATAAATCTATAAAATTTAAAAAATTTATCTGTAAGCTCATCAAATAGATCTAAATATTATTCCAAATATATATAGAAACTTTTTTGAATTGTGACAATAGTAATGATACGAAGCAAAACAAACAATAAAGCTGATTTTGAAATCCATCATAACCTCATTTTGGTGGGATTAACAATTATTTTTGTCTAATCTCACTGAACAAAGCATTTAAACAAAAAAAAAAATTACATAAAAGAAACTCACAATTCAAAAATTCCACTAAAAGAAAGGGGGTTTAATGGGATTTTTCCTTCCCACCGCTGGAAGTGTATCCAAAAGTACATTTGCTTTATTTTTTTTTTTCTTTAAAACTAAAAGATACAAACTGTTCTTTTTTTTTTTTTTTTTTTAATTTTGTTTAAATAAAAATTAATTATTATTTTAATAAAAAATATAACTATCTTTTATCGATTTTTAAATAATGAAAAGGATGTCGCCTTTAGCCCAACGCTGCGTTCAGTGATCGTAAAACAAACGAAAGAACGCTCCCTGACAAAACACAAAAGAACAAAAAAGCAATAATCAAAACCGAAAAATGAAGTTACCTTAGTCAAATAATCATAAATGAAAACGGTGGAGATGAAGTTAAAACAATAAAGCTTGAGGAATTGAGCAGTAGAATGAGTTAGAAGAATGGTAGTTGAGAGAATAGAAAATCAAAACTAAATAATTGTGTGTGGCCCGCAAAAGAGAATGAAAAGTCAAGTTTATTAAATAATTGAAAAGCATGGCCGGCTGGTCTCCATCGCTCGCCCCTGGCTGTGGCGCATGATTTCTGTTGGAAAAGTATTTTTTTAGTAAATTACATCGAAGTCCTTGAGCACTAATTCAACACCAATTCATTAGTATGATAATTTTACATCATCTTTAAAGTTCTAAAAATGACATGACAAATAGATCCAAATCAAGGTTCCGTTAGAATTGTTCACATGTAATTTATGTTATACCAAAAATACCCCTCTTTCTATGTGATAACAGGTAATAACTAAACCAACATGCCTTTTTTTTACTTATATTCTTTTTGACTTAATATTCAGGTATGCACTTAACTTTTTATACAAAATAATTTATACCTGCCATCTTTTATTACATTCAAATAAATTTATAATCTTTTATTTTGTTATAAATAAACCCATAAACTATTTAAATTACATAATTAAATTTAATTTTGTTAAATAAGACAATTTAGATATATAAATTCTAGTTTGAATCTGAAAATTTTGCTCAACTCACCCAAACTTAACCCAATCCAAAGTTAAAAGTAATTCGAATCCAAATTAACCCAAACCCAAGTCAACGTGAATTAGAGATGAATCGAAGTTGAAATAGCTCAAAATTAAAATGATCCAAAAAACTAATATGAAATAACTAAGAGGCTGATACTAAATTAAGTATAATTTTAATTAATAATATTAATTTAATAAAAGTAATAAATATAAATAAATAAAAACAATAACTATAACATAATTCATTAAATTATTGAAAAATCAAATTAATATATATTTTTAATATCAAACTAGTATAATTACATATGTTATGTTACTTAGAAAACTTCTTATAATTTATAATATAATTTAAAATAAATTATATATTTTTAATTACCATGAGTATACCAGCATATCAATGTATCATTTAAAATAAATTATATTATCTCTTATAATTATAATAGTAGTAGTATCAATTATCATGTGATTCAGAATAAAATATCTAACAAGCTATTGATTTGTATGTATACATATATATATGTTACATTTATGTTGTAATTATATTATTAAATTTTAATTGTGTAATTTAGAATAAATTATATAATAAATTACAACTATATTAAAATTCAAAATAATAAACTATTGAATAATGAGCTATAATTATACTAAAATGATTATCTATATTGTAGTTACACTATTAATATAAAAAATTACATATTAAATATATATCATAAATAAATATTTAAAAAATTTATATGATTATATTAAATTTGTAATTATGAATTATAATTAAAAGTTTAAAATATTATTAATATATTTATATTAAATTAAATTAAATTAAATTAAATATAAACACTTATTAAATTGTTAAACTTGACCAAGATATTTTTCATGCACCTGTAATCAATTGGACTATTTAATTAAATTTATTTTTGTATCTTATTTTTATCAAAATTTATGTTGACATGATTAATATCAAATTTTGTGCCAATACTTGAAAATTAACTAATATCGAAAATTCCTTTCACCGCTGCCTTGTGAATCAATTTTTACTGTATTCAAATTCTTGATATATGAATTTTTTTTCCTTTTTTCGTTGCAGGCTGGTTATCAAGGATATACTTTCAAGCTTTGAATTCCTATTCCTAGAGGTGCAGAAGATGGAAAATGAGATCATCTTTTATCAAAGATTTTCTAGTCTTTAAAGAAATTTTTCTTGATATTTTACTTGTCATCTGTTGTTAATCATTGGTTTTACTTTTTATGTAAGGCATCGGCTCCGAGATTCTCATCTTAATTTCTTTTTCACAATGAAAATGAAATTTATACCTTTCTGGCAAAAGCCACTGAAATAAATGGGGAGGACAAGGAACATTATCTTATTTGGTTTAGTAATTTATGTAGGAATAACGGGATTGTCTTTTCATATGGGTTCTTCCCTGAGTGGTTAAGACTTCATGTAGAACAACAATAGCTCGAGAGAACACTTTGGAATCTTTGATTGTGTTATATGCATTTGTTTTCTTGTTCAATCTGGTTTTTTATGCAAGTCTTTATGTATATCTTAGGGATGTGAAAACCCTCATAGTTGATATGCTCCAAGGTAACATTTTTTTTTATATTTTGTGCATAATTTGAACATGATTATAAAAATGAAAATATCATTATACCTTTTTATTATTTTATTTTTTATTCGATAATATATATTTTTAAAAAAGATATGTAATTTATTTTTATTTGATATAAATTTTATGTGTATAAATATTATTATAAATAAAGATAATATAAAAAGAAGATATTTTTCTTTTTTTAAAATAATTTATTTTTTATGAAAAGTTAATTAAATATAAAATTTTTTATATATTATAAATTTTAATATTGGAAACTATCCTTAAATTACCCTAATATTTTCAAATTTTTATTCTAAGAAAAAAATTGATATTTTAATTTTTTTCTTAGCATTTTTTAAAGTTTCTTTTATTTTTATTTATCTTATTTTATTTTTATTCTTAAAGAATTTAGGAAAAATTGATATTTCAAAATTTTTTTAAATATTTCCAAAATTTTATTCTAAGAAAGAATTAATAGTTTAACTTTTTCCTTAGATACTTTAGAAAATAAAACTTTTCATTTTTCATTTTTCTTTTGTTCTAAAAGTATTCAAGTAGAATGATATTTATTTTTACAAATATCTTTAAAAAAATATTTTTTCACTCAAATTTTCTTAAATATTTTTTCACAACTATTTTATTTTTCATTTTAAGGTTCACTCAAAATAGAATAAAAAATAATAAATAATAATAAAAACATAAAAATAGTCAGAAAAATGACAAAAATAAAATTTTATAAAAAAAAATATCAAAAATGCCGTTGGTCAGCGCTGGTCAAAGATTTAGGGATAGTTCAACTCGTTCGCCACAGTTCAACAGTCTGTAGTGGTTTTGAGCGATTCAAAGTGATATTGATCGATTTGGTACGATTCAAGTCGGTCTAGCTTGGTTCAATTTAAGGGGGATAGGTTTTCAGGTTGATTGTGCAGATTTTAGGTTGGGTCACAAGTCGGCACAAAATTCCTTTGCTTGAAACAATATTGTTTTGTTTTTTTAATAAAAGTAAAAAAATTCTTATTTCATTTTTATTTTTCACTTTCTCTCTCCCCAACACTTTTATTGTCTCTGTAATCCTCAAACAATCGACCAATCTCAAAACTCAGAAACCTGTAGTTGATCACTATCACAGGCTATCATTGCCGATCCCTTAAAAAAGCACAAAGCTCAAAAAATACTCTTCTTTGCCTCTTGATGACAAATCTAAGTGTGGTTTTACAAAAAGCCCCCAAAAGCCTAGATCTTAACTAAAAGTTTCAGGTAAATTTTTTAAAAATCTTTGTTGTTTGTTTGTTTTTTTTTTTTTTTAGTTCCCTTCAGAGATGTGTTGATTTGATTTTTTTTAATTTTTTAAAGTTTATAGGTCTCAATTGGTTTAGGCTCTTTTATTTTTATTTATGTGGTGAAGGATGGGTTTTGATTTAAGGTTTGTAAGGGTGGCTGATGGTTTTCTTTGTGGCGGTGAACCAAAAAAACAAAAAAGGTATGCCAAAAAAATATTTGGATGATTCTATTTTCTTTTTGTGTCTGTGTTTATAGGCTATATTTATAGAACTTTTTAGGTGC